CCTGCTGGGCACTGGGACTGAGTCACAGAAAATAAACTGTAAACTGGGCTTTCTAGAAGTCAGGGGCCCACACTTGGGACAGCCCGCTATGGAAGGAATGCTGAACCGGAGGTCAGCCTGGCCCAAGCACAAAACCACGTCTCCGTCCTTCCCAGTGAGCATGGACAGAGCGAGTCCCCTGGCACCGGCAGGCTGTCAGTAAGGAGGGTACCCACCCAGCACATCCCCGGCCTCTGACACCAGGATGCCCTGATCCATCTTCCTCTGCGGAGAAAGTGTGTGTGGCTCAGCAAGCCCAGACAGAGCACACCACCCCCCACCCGCCCATGGAAGCAACCCGCGCCTGGCCGTGTGTCTGTTCTGACCCTCGTGACAGACTCACAGCCATGCTCCGTGCCCAGTGACCCCACAAACAAGGAAAACAGCCTTGATGCGAGCCCTCTGCATTTCCAGCATCTTCAGAGAGACTACTGATGCAAATTGTTGCTGATGGCAAAGAAGAACAACTTAAAATATATACGAACTTCAAGCAATGATATAAAGCTAATGTTTTAAACACGCACCCGTAGCACCATTCATGAAATGCTGCTGGTTTCAGCAACAAAGCTGGTCCTGGCGTGGCCTGGCAGGCGTGGTGATGTTGCCTCAAGTCACTTTGATACTGTTTCCCAGGGCGCAGAGCTGGTTTCTTCCTTCTTCCTTCCTTCCTTCCTTCCTTCCTTCCTTCCTTCCTTCCTTCCTTCCTTCTTTCTTTCTTTCTTTCTTTCTTTCTTTCTAAAAGATTTTATTTATTTGGGAGAGAGACAGTGTGAGAGAGAGAGAGAGCACAAGCAGGGGGAGGGGCAGAGGGAGAGGGAGAAGCAGACACCCCGCTGAGCAGGGAGCCCGATGCGGGGCTCAATCCCAGGACCCTGGGATCATGACCTGATCTGAAGGCAGACGCTTAACCAACTGAGCCGCCCAGGCACCCACAGAGCTGGTTTCTGCCAACACTGGATGTTTTCCGACGACCCTCCACATCCTGGCACAAATGCCCGCTGGGAGCCTGGCTCAGGTCCAGCACCGACACACGCATCCTCTCTTTCTCAAGGAAATGAGGGAGAACAGTGTCAGCAAACTCTCAGAGCTGACAGAGGTCAGCCCATTAAGGTGCAGGTGGGTGAAGGGACGCTGGCCTCTTGGGGGGCAGGTGGCCCGAGGATCAACCCAGGCCCGAGGCGGGAGGGAGGAGGGGGAGAGGGGGTCCTGGGGCAGCCAGTGGAGCCTGGGGGAGCATGGGAGCACCTCTTACCAGGAACTGGTTTACCCAGTTTGCTAACTGGTCACCTGGCAAGACCCCTGGGAGTGGAGCAGGCTTGGGGAAGAGGGGCAAACCCTGGGGCGGGGGGCTGCAGGCTGGCCTGACAGTGGGGCTGGGCTGCAGGGAGCCAGCTGGCTGTGCAGCCTGGGGAGGGGAGGGCCCTGGGCTGGGGCCAGGCTGGGTGGGTGGGAGGCTATTGCCTTCAAGGCTCCTAGACTTTGCTTATGCCCTTTCTCAGGGGACAGAGTCGCCATGGGGGTGGGTCTCTGCTCTGGTCAAGGACCCAGATTCTGCTGAAAGGGGCGTTTGCTGCCCATCCACACCGTGTGCTGGAGGGTGGACACCCCGACTCCTGATCTTTGACTTGCTCATTCAGAAGCACACTTGGCTGCCGCCCTGGGGCCCTCAAGTCCCTGGGCAGAGAATGATTCAGGGTACGTCCATGCAAGCAGTGACCCCCCCGTGCCCAAGGTGGGGTGGGGCAGGAAACGTCCCCAGAGAGTGGAGGCTTCTCACACAGGGGGACCCCCAAACGGTCTCAGGTCCTACTGTGTGGACCAGACTACCGGTTTCTGATTCTACTATAATCTTGCAAGTCTGCGAGAGGCTGGGGGCGAGGTGCGGTGGGGGGACTGGGCAAGCTGCCCGGAGTCCCACCGAGTCCCACCCAGCGTGCTGAGCCCCGGAGTGCCTGGCTGCGTTCCCACGGCTGTTCCGACGTGCCTGATGGCAGCGCTTGGTGGAAGAGTTTGTGTGGTGATCTGGAGCACACACACACCCGTGTGCAGACCCCTGCAGGACCAGTGAGGCCACCAGCCTCCCCTCACCTTGTCCCATGCCCTCATCAGGTGCTCCTGGGCCATTAAGCGTTGGGACCTGCAGGGTGTGTGTGGGGGGGTCTTCAGGAGGGCCTGACCCAAGAGCTGGACGCGGCATTTGGAGCCCCCATCCCGTTCCCCTGCCCGGTGGGAGATGTTCCAAGGACTCAGCCTGGGGAGAGTGGGTGCTGTTGAGACCACCTGGACAGTAGACGTGACTGAACCCCGTGAAGGCTTCTATATAAACTTTTAAGATCCTGGCGGGCAGGCGCAGGGAGCTTTGCGTCTTGAAGTCGCCCACGACAAGTCTTGTCCGTGAATTCCCTTGCTTGTTAAGACAGCCACCTGCCAGTCTGGAGGGGCCTGCCTCTTTCTTCAGTTGCTCCTGGCCCTCTGTGTACGGGGCCCCGTTTTGAATTTCACCCAGGAAACTCCCGGGGTTTCAAACCAACAAATAGCAAAGCATGGATGAAGACAGTGAAGGGTGCTCCATGAAATTGTTGCCCCCGTTTTCAGAGGGTGAGCAGAGCATGATGGGAACCTTTATTTATCAGGGCTCATAGCCACAGATGTTCGCTGGCCTCCCCTGGGACCTGAAGGGGGCCGGCAGGGCTGTGCCCAGTGGTGAGAACCACGCACAACCTTGCCCTGCAGAGCCCCAGGGACTGTCAGCTTATGTGTCTACTCTGCCAGGCCACAGTGCCCAGGGGTGGGGTCAAACATTATCTGAATGCCGCTGTGGAGGTGTTTTTAGGTGAGATTAATCTCGATGTGAGTGGACTCTGACCCCCCTCCATCGTGTGTGGGCCACATCCAATCAGTTGAAGGTGTCAAAAGAAAAGTCTGAGGGCCGCCAAGGAAGGGTTCTCCTCCGAGGGCCTCCGGCCATGAGTGGCAGCCTCAGCTCTACCTGCGCCTCCAGCCCCACAAGCCCATGAGCCAAATGCTGCAAATCTGCCGCCTCCCCTGGTCTCCCCTGCGCGTACATCCTGTGGGTTCCGTCTCTCTGGAGAACGCTGACTTCCACTCCCCGGATCCCACACCCACTCTCCTCATCTACGCACGCGGTCCGGAGGGCGAGGGCCCCGGCAGAGCGCGTGGGAGCTGCCTGCGTCCTGCTATGCTCGTCCTGGACTGCGGGGCCCAGCTGCCCCGTCTGCTCGGCCGCCCCGGGACGCCTTTTCCTTCCCCTCTCCCCCCACTGGCCACGCACCTGCTGCCAGAAGGCCACCCCTCCCGTCTCTCTGGCTTTCCTCCATTTCCTCTGTCCACCTGTGGTCCCTTGCTGGGGCCCCCGGGGCAGCCTGCTCACCCTGATGGCCTCCATCCTCCCTTCGCCTCTCCACACAGGGGCCCGGGCATCCGGACACTATGAGGAGACAACATGAGGGCCCCACTGTCCCTCAGCCCCTCTAACCTTGGCCATGGTGGGCCACCCTCCCCTAACCCCTGCCCTCCCCCTGCCCTCTCTTGGTCTGGAATTCCCCAAGCCCCTCACTGGGACCTTCCATGCCAGCGTCCCTCCACCTGCAAAGTGCTACCTCAAACCCCCGCTCCTTCCCGCCACCTGCCCCGACCCCGAGATGCCTGGGCTGATGGCAACACAGACAGTTCTGCCACCGAATCTGTGGGTCTCCTCACGTTGTGACCCTCGCTTCTCAGGGCAGGTCCCCAGGGCCCTGCAGATGTGCGAGACCAGCAATGCTGAGGTGCTCTCCTCAGAGCACCAGGCCCACTGTGGCACCGCCTTTCTCTGTGATGTATGGAGGGTTTCTGTCTGGGGCTTCCTGGACGGGAGCAGAGTGGAGGCCTGTGTGTCCTGCCACCAGCCTGGCTCACGGCACACAGCCGGTGCCCCACGAACATTTGGTCAAAGAAAGAACTGATTTCAACAATGTCTCCCTCACCCCCCATTAAGCCTCTTCCTGGGGGCCACGCGTCAGTCCCAGCCAGGCCAGGAGGCAAGGGGAACCTAGGAGAACAGCCTGTCCCTGGTGGCCGCGAGCCGGTGCGGCAGGCGCAGGGCAGGGCGGGCCAGGCCTCGGGGCTCAGTGGGCTCATCTAAGCAGACTCTCGGCCTCCTTCCTGGGGGTCCCACGGTGACCGTTGGGGTCATGCCTGCGCTGTCCCCAGAGCAGGATTTGGTGTCCTGGGTGTCCACGGACACTCCCTAAACATCCACTCCTTCCTCCTCCATTAAACTGCCGGTGGAAGTAACCCGGGTCATGACCCCTCGGGGATCACTGTGCTACTTCTCAACATCGCAGTGTGGGCCATGTCCTGGGAGCCAACCCTCACCGGCGCCACCACCCCCTGTCCCTCCGAGAGCTCCCAGAGGAGGGGGGCGTTGAGGCAGGATCCTGGCCAGGTGCCATAGGCAGGACAGTGGGAGCCCAGGGTCACACGGGCAGCTGGAGGAGCTCAGGCCAGAATCCAGGGGCTGACACCCCACAGCACTGAGTGGGTGCTGGTACGTGGCCTGCTGCAATCATCCTCAGAGCGCTGGTGGTGTAAGTGGGATGGCTCCTCTGGGGCAAGCACACACCAGCCTTCCGGCCGGGCTCCCCAGCTCCAACACGAGCGGGCACGCGGACAGGCCACTGAGCTGGGGGGTGCAAGGGAAAGGCTGGGAGCGTCACTGGCCACCTAGGCCCACCGTGCTGCCCCTGCCCTGGGTGCCCAGCATCACATCACGTGTTCAATGGGATGTGGGAGAACTAAGTGACCACAGCACCGTTGCGGTGAGAGCTCTGCTCAACAACGTCGTCTGACGGCTCCCAGGCCTGGGGTTGGGCCCCGAGAGGGGAGACCAGAGCTGCTCTTCAAAACCCTTTCGTTTTAAAAACAGAACGCACAATTCCTGTCCTGTACAAAGTGCATGGTCTGAGCCTTAGGATGGTACTTCAAACAAAAATTTAAGCAAGCGATTCTGGGTGGGAAAGTTCTCTGGAAACCACTGTCTTAAGAGTCCTGAGACTTCAAAACAAACGTGGACACCCCCTACAAGTAAAGAAATATTCTGTCACTCGCTGAACAAAGAAAGCATTTGTACAACAGCAGACAATCTGCACTGTAATAACACCTCCCCACGCGGGTTCTGAGCCCCATGACCCGTGTGAAACCTCTTGCCGGGATTAAGTAAAAGAACACGAAATGTGCCGGAAAAGCTGTGGCTTTACTCACATCCTATACGTTATCCGTAGGCGGTTTAACCTACTGCAAGAGCAAAATGCCTCCATTAGCCAAAGCTGGCCATCAAAGCTCCTCAGAAGTTACAGCAACTTCTAGAAGAAACAGGAGGCCGACCTTCTCCAGGACCCTGTCAGGAGGGCGGAGTGCATGGCTGAGCAGACGGGACCAAACAGACAGCTCGGGGCAGATCAGTCTGGCTACGGGGGGCCAGGTGAGGGCGCCAGGTAAGCAGGCAGTGCCCCCAGACCTGGACAGCTGGATACCCTCCCAACGCCCCACAGCCTGCTGAAAAGCACACCAGAGTGCTAGGGTTCCTGCCTTCCTTGGTCTCCTAAGGGCTGAGGGTTTCCTGAGGCTGGATCCCACATCTCTTGTTCACTGCAGGGGTTTGGTGCTACACTTGAGCCCCAAGAGGGTTTCACTGTGCTTAACCAAGCCAGGCCTGCAGGTGCCCTGGGGCCCCACGATCCTGGTCACCAGAAAATCTGTACCACCCAAAAGAATGAGTTGGACACAACTTACAAAGCTTCCTCTTGTCAGCACACACCTGCCCCCAAAGGTAAACAGTCAACACAGGCACTGGGCTGACCTTCCTCCTGGCTTCCTTCTGTCTGTCTCTTCCAAGACAGGCTGGATCTGGGTGGGCGGGTGTGGGACCCAGTTCACTTTCTGCTAACACTTAATTGTTGGGGGCTGGGGTCCCACAGAAAAGGGGGATGGGCCTGTGTTGGGCCACCCGGCTGGCAGCAACCTTCCCAGTTTGCGTCAAAGGTCCACTCAGGTGGGAACATGCCCACACTCATGCACTGACTCCTTGGACCACGACCCCGTGGTCACCTCTGACCCCACACTCACAGACCCATCCCACCTCCCCAACCACTGCCTGCTCACTTTCACCCTAGCCTTATTTGCAGGAGCTTTAGAGGGCCTCCTGGAACAAAGGAAACGTCCCCCACTTTGTGATTAAATGCTAAGATGTCATTTTGTCACCTCCCACCCCCACGCACCCCTACACAAACTACCCAAACCACCCAAGCCTGCACACCTGGCAGTGGGTCCTGCACCACTGAGGTCAGTACCCCTCCCTCCTCCCCCCCTTAGGGGCAGGGAGGTGCCCCCCCTCCCGTGTTTCCCCTCAATGCTTTCCACCAAGGCCACAGCATGGCTGCAGGCCGGGAAGACCCAAGTCCCTGCCAGCCTCCTCCAAGTCTGTTAGGCACTTTTGACTCCAGCCGGCTCCAAACAAGCTCAGGAAACCTAAATTTCAGGCCACACCAGGGTCGAGGGTGGGGCCAGGAGACTGAAGACCCCACGCACCCCCGTGCTCCTGCACGGAAAGGGGGGACGGGTGCAGAGGGAAAGAGGCGGAGGGGGAGAGGGATGGCGGGAGAGGGTTAGGGTGGTGGGTCAAAGGGCCTGGGAGCAGGGACCCGGACCCCGCCTCTAAGTCAGAAGCCACCGAGGGGGCAACAGGGGGCCCAGGGGAGGGGCCTGGGCCCTCTGCTCGGGGCTTTGGGGCGCAAACTCCGAAAGGCTGACGGCGGCGGCGAGGTGACAGTCCGTCCAGCCGGGTGCCCGCGGCCCCCGGTGGCCCGTCGTGGGAGGGGTCACGGGGAGGGGACGGACGTGCTCACCTGCGGGGGTGGCAGTCCTGGTGCGGGTCGGGCTCACGGTTCCGGGTCGGGGTCGGGGAATGGGCGGGGGTCAGCCTCCGGGTCTGGAATGGGGTCCGGCTCTGGGTCGGGGTCCGGGTCGGGGTCTGGGTCCGGGTCGGGGTCTGGGTCCGGGTCGGGGTCTGGCCCCGGGTCCGGGTCGGGGTCAGGGTCGGGATCGGGGTCCGGGTCGGGGTCGGGGTTGGGGTCCAGGTCGGGATTGGAGTGCAGCAGCGTGAACGCGGCCGCCGCTTTTCCGGACCTCGGCGGAGCCCCGCGGGAGGCGGCGGTTGGGGGAGAGCGGAGGGGGCGCGCCCGAGCTGCGGCTTGGCCCGCGCTTTGGCCCCTCTCCGCCCGGCCCCGCCCCCGGCCCCGCCCCGGCCCCGCCCGTCCCGTCCCAGCCCCGCCCCCGTCCTCTCCCCTCCCGCCCCGCCCCTCCCGTCCCAGCCCCGCCCCGGCCCCGCCCCGCCCCGCCCCGCCCGGCCCCGCCATCTCCCTTCCCGCCCTCCGGTCCGGCCCCTCCACTGCCATCCTGGCCCCGTCCCGTCCTCTCAGCTGCCCTACCTTCCAGCCCCTGTCTCCTCCCCTCCCGGTCCAGTCCCGCCCCCGTACTCTCCCCTGCCCCCGCCCTGCCCCGCCTCTCTCCGCTCCACCCCGCCCCGCCCGTCCCAGACCCTCCCCCGTGCTCTCCCTCCCTGCCCCGCCTCCTCCCGCTCTGCCCCGCCGGGTCCCTGGCCCTTGCCCGGTTCCCACTCCTCGCCAGAAGGGAGGGGCGCGGCTCGTCCGACTTGCAGCGGGTAGAGTTGCCCGCCCCGGGGTTATCAGTCCGGGGGTCGCAGCATACGGAGGTCACATGGATCCGGGGTCGCATTGTTCAGCGTTCGGCCTGTCCCGGGATTGCGCACCTTCCCAGGGCTACAGCATCCTGGGCTCGCAGCCTCCCGGGGTCGCCCGTCCGGGGGTCGTCCTGGACGCGGAGAGGTGAGCGCGTGGCCTCCGAGAAGCCCCTGCACCGTCGCACTCCCGCTCTGGAAGCGGGCTGAACCCCATTTGCCAGGGCTCCGGGTCCCGCCACTGCCCCGGGCCCCAGGCCTGCGCGTACGACTGTGAACGTCCGCTCCCACCCGCAGCGCCGCAGGCGCCCCGCAGAAGGTCTGCCCCGGAGGCGCGGGGAGAGTACGGTGTGTTATGTGGGGTGCTGGGCACCGGTTCCAGCGCCGTGGGCACGAAGCTGTTGCGGTCGCGGGGGTCCCAAGGAGGGATGTCTCCTCCAAGGAAGGACTGAGGTTGTCCGCAGACACAAAAGCAGCTCCTGGGCGGTGGTAGGGCCTGGGAGTGAGGGGTCCTGAAGGTTAAACTTCCCTGGGATTAGCATCCAGGGGATTTATCGGATCACTACCTGGGGGTGACCAGGCATGCTCTGTGACGCAGTGACATTCCCACAGAAACCTTTAGGAGTAGGGGCCAATGGGCCCAAACCTTGGAATAGCACGTTCAGATCCCCAGGGCTGTGGGGTGGGGTGGGGCTGGGAATTGGCTCAGGAGCCTCACTGTAGGCCCAGCTGGGCTGCCCTGCAGACACCTGCTAGGTGCCCCGCTTCAGTGCTCCCTGGGCTCCAGGTGCCAGGGCCCCAGCACGCAGTCTCTGGGAGGCCGCTTCTGCCTCTCCTTCAAATCCGACTTTCATATCCCCACCTGCCCCCACGCCCGGCTCTTCCCAGCTTTGGTTTCCTTCACACTTGTCATCTTCTAGTAATCATGGTATGTCCGGCCTCCTCCGGTTCCAGCACGAGCCCCAGGCCGGCACATAGTTCTGTTTTGTTTCCTGCTGAAATCCGTACACCCAGAAGAGTTGTTCATCTACCAGGACCACACTCAGAAGTAACACCTCAGGCAGAGCTCTTCCCAGCTCCAGTTAGTCACTCTTCCTCCGGACTCTGAAACCTCAGCTCAACTGTTTGTCAACAATGCCAGCCATGGACCCCGTATCCAACCCTCCCATTTGACAGAGGAGCACACTCAGGCTCAGAGAGGATCCCAGCAAGTGGTGTGGTTAGACAAGCAGGAAACAGTCTTCCCAGTTCCGGAGCCTGGAGAACATCCGTCAAACCCTGCTGTCTGCATCCGCTGTTCCCTGTTGCACTCGACACTTAGTGAGCGAGCTCCTTAGTCAGCCGGCAGAAGCTTGTGGAATAAATGAATATATTAGCAAACCATTATAAAGCCTACCATTACATTTATTATTTAACTTTTATACCCGTCGAAACAGTCCTTTCCACTAACTCATGGGATCAGTCCAAAGCAAAAATGGGCAAGGGGACTATTGTTAGCCAGCGGCTGAACACATGGATTCTGGAGCCTGACTTTTGAGGTCCAAAGCCTGACCCTGTTACCTTCTTGCTGGGTGATCTTAGGTACTTTAACCTCTCTCTGCCTTTGTTTCTCTATCTGTAAAATGGGGTAACAATAGTACTTACTTACAGGGGTGTCTGAGGATTAATTGAGCCAATATTTATAAAACATTCAGAAACTGCTTGGCACTGTAAGGGCTGTGTGTGTTTTAGCCTTTCTACTTTTTTCTACACAGTGAAGTGACATGCCACAGTGCAATTGAACAGTATAAATACGGTGCAAAGCACCAGGCGCTTCACCTTACAGCCGGGCGCTCCTGTGGGTCTTAATTTACTTTCCCCTTTCTATTCCCTTTTAGCTACAGAGATGACAGAGCAGTGACCCACTGGAACGAAGGTGGCCCGTGCCGTCTGTGAGCTGGCACAAGAAGGACAAATGGATTGCAAAGGCCTTGGTGCCGGGGACGGGTTGTCACAGACCCGCTGCTACACAGCTCAGAGCTTCCTCGGGTGACATTCGCAAGACCTCGAGAAAGGCTGTGGTCCAGGTGTCATGATGCCCGGAGGGTGTGTGTGGTCCGGTCCTGGGTTTTTTTGTTCTTTGTGGTTGTTCATAAGCCTGGAGGAGAGCATTGCCAACTTCTCACTTACCCATACCCCTGCCTGGAATCCCCAGCTTGCCGTCTGAAGCTGCCCTGTTACAGCTCACGCCCATGGCCAGGAGGCACCGCCCCAGCTCTTTCCTTGGTCCTGTCCTCAGGCCAGATGGGGCTGCGGGGAATCCGTCCTCCCCGCGCTCTGTCAAGTGCCGGCGGTCGGCGGTGGCGGTTATACCGGTCTGCAGAATGATGTGTGGAGGTCCTTCCACAGAACCTGTGAATGAGACCTTATTTGGAAATCGGTCTTTGCTGCCCTATCAAGTTAAGAGGAGATCGTGTGGGGGTCGGGGGGAGCCCCGATCCAATATGACTGGTGTCCTTATACGAAGAGGAGAAGAGACACAGAGCCAGACAGGGAGGAGAAGGCCACGTGACGATGGAGGCAGAGGCGGGGCGTGGCGTCGGTAAACTGAGGCATGCCAAGGTAGACTGGTGCCACCAGGGCAATGATGGAGCAAGAAGGGACCCTCCCCCAGAGCCCTCGGGGGGAGCACGGCCCTGCCAAGCTCAGGTCTTGGCCTTTTGCTCACCAGGACTGTGAAAGAACAGATTTTACTGCTGGAAGCCCGGTCTGGGCTCCTTTGTGACGTCGGCCCCCATGTTGCCCGTGGCCGTGGCGCGTGGCCCAGATCTGGACAGCTCAGCAGCATGTGCGTGTGTGAGCGGCATCGGCGCTGAAATGCTGGGTTCAGCTGCTAGACAGCACAGAGCTGCCTCGGGGGATACGTGCAAACTGAGCCAAGCAAGAATTCACGTATCCCATTTTCGGAATTTTTTGTGCTAGGACTAGGCACAAGAAGGATGGGGTTGGGTGGTTTAAAGTGAGGACAAAGTAGTCCCAGTTTCTAGTGACCTCACGAAGAGCTCCCCACCCTTCAAATGACGGCCGGGAGATGCTTGGCCTTCTGTGTTGAAAGCATGTGCTTTTTCCTTGAAAGATGCAAAGTGCAGCCAGGGGCACTCAGCATGAGTTTCCCAGGGCTGCTGGGACGAAGTCCCATGAACTGGGTGGCTTAAACCCACACACACTGATTCTCCTCAGTCCCGGAGGGGAGAAGTACAAGATCCTGGCGTGGGCAGGGCCGTGCTCCCTGCCACTCCCAACCCTGGCCTTGAGCCGTTGCTGGGCCTCCCTTGGTTTGTAGACGCCCCACTCCCATCTCCTCTTCGTCCGCACAGGGCCTTGTTCTGTGTTCTCTCTTCCCCTCCTCTTACAAGGACACCAGTCATAGGGGCAGGGCGCCCCCCCCCACCCGCCTCTCCGGTGTGAGCTCGTTGTAACTAATTACAACTGCACCCACCCTCGTTCCAAATAACGGCACACTCTGGGATCCTGGGGGTTCCGACATCACCAAGTCTTTGTTCAGAGAAGGGACACTATTTAACCCCTCATATGCACCCAAAGCAACCCCCCCATCCCTCCTTCTTTAATTCAGCTTCCCGGGGCCAGGGGCTGTTCTCACCAGGACCAGAGTTCAGGGGAACGCCAGAGAAGCTGCTTCCCTGGGGATGGGGCTTAGTGTCCATTTTCAGGCTTCAAGTGGGAGTTGGCCACGGTAATACCAGGAACGAGGTGCAGTGGATTTTTCTAGAGGAGTTGTCTTTTCTAGATGCAGATCCAGCTTCTGACCCAGCCGGCCTGGGACTGAGCGGGGAGACGTCATTGCGAGTGACAGCTCTTCTCCCCCCGAGGAGGACTGTCCGGGCTGCCCACCGTGCTAGTGACGAGGGACCCGGCCCCTCGCGCGGCCCGCCAGGAGCATGGGGTGCTGTCTGAAGCTCAAAAAGGAGGTGAGAGTATCAATGCCTCAGACACCAGTGTGTGCAAGTGCTCCAGGGGCAGGACTTCAAAGTGCAATTCAAGTACCACCTGCAGGGCAGGAAGCCACGCCTTGGCCATCTCCAGAGCAGAGGGGCCCGAAAGGATGGAGGCACCCATTTTATTGTCTTGTCATGAAACAAAGAGGGACGTTCTGTTGGGACCAGAGTCCGAAGTTTCACCGAACTCGGCAAACAAGCCAGCAGCAACCTGCCTCTGTCCTTCTATCCAGAGCTCACAGGTCACATACCG